TTTCCCATCGTTCCCCCCAGCTGTTTATATTTAGTTTTAACAGTATCTATTTTCCCATCGTTCACCCCAGCTGTTTATATTAAGTTTTAACAGTATCTATTTTCCCATCGTTCACCCAGCTGTTTATATTTAGTTTTAACAGTATCTATTTTCCCATCGTTCACCCCAGCTATTTATATTTAGTTTTAACAGTATCTATTTTCCCATCGTTCACCCAGCTGTTTATATTTAGTTTTAACAGTATCTATTTTCCCATCGTTCACCCAGCTGTTTATATTTAGCATTTTTAGATAGTTGCTAAATATCAGATGATTATCTATTGACTTCTAACAATTTGGTCAGGGACTCTCCAATACTCAATAGAAGTTAGTCTTCAGAATGTACATGCTCAGTGGCTTTTTATTTACCCGAGCAGATACATCAACTGTGATGTAATCCAACAAACACCAGATGTCACACTACAGTACATTACTATGATGTAATCCAACAAACACCAGATGTTGCACTACAGTGCCTTACTGTGATGTAATCCAACAAACATCAGATGTTGCGCTACAGTGCCTTACTGTGATGTAATCCAACAAACACCAGATGTTGCGCTACAGTGCCTTACTGTGATGTAATCAAACAAATACCAGATGTCACACTACTGTATATTACTGTGATGTAATCCAACAAACACCAGATGCTGCACTACTGTACATTACTGTGATGTAATCCAACAAACACCAAATGCCACACTACAGTACATTACTGTGATGTAATCCAACAAACACCAAATGCCACACTACTGTACATTACTGTGATCTAATCCAACAAACATCAGATGCCACACTACTGTACATTACTGTGATCTAATCCAACAAACACCAGATGCCACACTATAGTACATTACTGTGATGCAATCCAACAAATACCAAATGCCACACGACAGTACATTACTGTGATGTAATCAAACAAACACCAAATGCCACACTACTGTACATTACTGTGATCTAATCCAACAAACATCAGATGCCACACTACTGTACATTACTGTGATGTAATCAAACAAACACCAAATGCCACACTACTGTACATTACTGTGATCTAATCCAACAAACACCAAATGC